GTAAAAAACGTTTGCGTCAACGTGAACACTTGCAAATGAAAGTTTCTTAACGCTGCTTGTGAGCAAACGGCGATTTGTTTTCAGACTGAAACATCAGAGGTAGAAACGAGTCTTATCTGTCGTTTGACCACGTCTGCGCTGACGGCAGCGGCCGCGAGCACAAAAGAAATTATGCAAATCTCCCTTTGAGCTCGTCAGCGGTTCCTCCTGGCTGGAAGACGCTGCCCTTTGAGTTCAAGTCTCTTCAGCCGCTCGCTGATGGAAAAGTGAACCATCTTTAAATGTTGTACACGTTGGAGCTCACCGGAGTCCTGAAATAAGGTTTCTGACAAGAAACCTATAGAGAAATTGCATTTCCTGTGAAAACGCAGTGTGAAAGCTTACTGGTGAAGAGCCTGCTGAAAAACAGCTGAAAAACAGCTGAAAAACAGCTGAAAGTAGCTGAAAGAGTTAAATTGCATATGGAAGGTGAAAGCAGCTGAAGCAGAACAAGATGTGAAAGGAGCAGTAAACAGATCTAAAATGAGCTCAATTCATTTTCTATGAGGCGAAAATGTCAGAAAAGGCTAAATATTTCAAACAGCTTAAGTTGCACCAATAACAAAAGTCATAGCAGGATTGTCCTGAAAGAGCCGAACATTTTATTTATGATTAGTTGAAAATGCACTAAAATTGTGGAATGAGAAAGATGCTGAAATATGTACGGAAGAAAAATGGATCACGGTAGATGATTCATAAACATTCAGACTGTTAAGGAGCATAATCCATGAAGCAGCTTCGTCATGAATGTGTTCAAAGGTTTGCCTCGTGTGCCATCCAACAACTTTAACTTAAAACACACTTAAAATATGTGCAGCTTCATGAAGAACTGTTTGCTACGAGTTCAGTGCAGGTAAGCTTCAAATCAGACTTCAATAAATCTGGACATGGATGAACAAACCCAGCCCGGCTGGAACTCTACAGCTTCACAGCAGAACTGACACGTTAGATATCGTTAACAGGAACGTCAGTGTTTCAAGTCAAAATGGTCTTTAGTGAGATTAATGCAGCAGCAGCGTGAAAAACACAAAGTACGCTCTAATGGATCTGTAGGAGAGTCAACGGGTCGGAGCTCCTGGTATTAAAATGCATTGATTAAGTGATGGGCAGCAGGTGGGAGCTCCTGGAGAAAAGCAAACACACTTTGCTCCACCGGAGCGTTCAGGTGTGTGTTCACACACAGAAGAGCTTCAGAAGCAGCTGTTGCTGCCTTTCTGTCTCAGAAAGGACCGGTCCATCTCCCTCAGATTACAGTGAGATGGATTATTCTCAAGTGGAACAGCTGCCGGTAATCCCAGGAGTGGGTGTCCCGATAAGTTCACCTTCAATTCAGACTGGACTGTGACAGAGAGGATGGAAGAACCTGTCCAGAAAGCAGTTATCAGGTCAGGGAACATGTCCAGACCTCAGTTAACGGGTCAGAGAACATCTCCAGACCTCAGTTAACGGGTCAGAGAACATGTCCAGACCTCAGTTAACGGGTCAGAGAACATGTCCAGACCTCAGTTAACGGGTCAGAGAACATGTCCAGACCTCAGTTAACGTGTCAGAGAACATGTCCAGACCTCCGTTAACGGGTCAGAGAACATGTCCAGACCTCCGTTAACGGGTCAGAGAACATGTCCAGACCTCCGTTGCTGGGAGTCAAACTGCAAATACTGGTCTGTGTGGGTGGGTTTGCGGTACACCTCGGTTTGCCAATGTCCTCTATCAGAGACCTCTATCAGTTTGACTCCCATCACCATTCCATTTTCTGACTGTATATCATGTCTCTCTCACAACTACCTGAAGCTCAGGGTAATCCTGATGAAAGGATCAACTAATTAAAATATATATATATATATATATTTTTTTTAATGTTCACCTCATCGTCTAAACACATTATCTAGTAATCCCCACAGAGCCGTGTTCAACCGTTACGTTTATGCTGTGATTTTGTGGCTGCACCGGGTCAAACATGGCTGCAGGGTATCAGAAGCTTTGTGGTTCTATCAGGCAGGGCTGTGCCTCAAAGAACAGGTAGAGGAGGGTGGACGGAGGTGGACGGGTGGGAACAGCCTGAAACTGAAGGTGACTGCTGACATTCACCCATGTGCCCTCTGCGAAGAAAGGAATAAGTGGCAAAACGAAGAGAAAATGATCCCGAGGCTAGAGCGAGCGACATCGGGGAGCCTGTGATTGTGGTTACTACGGCTACAGCATGCCCACCCCGCTGAAAAAGAAGGGGCTTGCAGAAAGGTCATGTGGTTTAGGAACGACTCGCTAAATCAACTCTGATGTGAGAGGTCCCTGGTGACGTCGAGGCTGAGGAAATGTAGCTGTTTAGCTTGCTCAGGAGGAACATAGATTGTTTCTTTGAGAGGTGCACGAGGTGGCTTACAGGAGACCCTCTGGGCTGTGAATCCTTTGATACGCCACATAAAGAGGACAAGAGATGCAGAAAGAGTGCAGGTGGAGAGACTGTGAGGTACGTCTCTGGCAGGTTGTGTTCTTTGAAAAAATCCGTCCCAAAGGGGGCAGACCTTCATCAGTGATTGTGGCGTGAGGAGGAGACCGGTTGAAAAGCATGCCGGGGTTCGTTGAACTCCCCCTCAGTCCCTGATATCTGTTTCCTGTCACATCTGGAAAACAGACAGCCCAGTTTAAGCCATTCACAGAAGGGAAATGATGCAACATAAATTTCAAGGCAAGGATGCTCCGTCTCTCCACCCCCCACCCCAAAACACACAAACACACCCGGCTCAGGATGAAGATCAATTTCTTCTCAAGAGCGAGTCAACGCAGAAACCAAAACTGAACTGACCGTTAGATCACAGCAGCTCCTTCCTCCTGGCAGCTGGAATGTAGAGGAGCTGCTCGGTCACACCAGCTGACGTCAGACAGTGGCGGCATGGACGTTTCCTCCTCGTGATGACCAGCAAGCCTTCTCTGCTGGGTTCTAGTTTGTGTTAAACGTCAGAAACTTTCATCAAACAGTAACAAGTCAGCAACAGGCTACAAATCATCCGGGGACAAATCAGACCTTCCACTTGACCCAGGTTGGAGGGCCGCTGGGAACATTTCATTTTAAAAAGTTTATTCATTTTAAAAATACAAAGCAATTCCATAACTATAAAAAATACAAGAGATTTAAAATGAAAGGCAGAAGAAAAAATCTTATTATATCTGCCTCTTTTTCAAACAATTAGTTCAATCATAATAATCTTCAAGTAACAGAACAAAACGAATAACTCTTTAATTTTTCTAATTCTAATACAAAAACACACTAAGATACTTCATATATTTATATTTTTTAACAATTCAGCTTTGATCTTTTTCTTAAATGTACACATTGACTTGACATTTTTAACATCACTCTCTAGAACATTCCACAGTCCAACTCCTTGGATTGAGGAACATCACAGATGGAATGGTTTGGTGAGGTCTGCTGGGCCGTTGTCAACGGACCTCACATGGCTCTGATTAATTGATTAACACGAGGTCTTTGGTGGTTAACAAGTCCAGTTCATGACACTCTGGGCTAACGGGGTCACCGCTCAGGGGTCTTGTTTTCTGCAGAGCAGCATGTGAAGCTTGTTGTTGCTGAACGAAGCCCAAGAATTCCATCCAGCCATCATCTTTACCTGCTTCTTCCTTTTCGGGTCACGGGGGTCACTTGTTCATTGATCTACACAAAGTGAGGTCAGTGAACAAGGCCAGGCTGATTCTGGCAGATCCCGATCACCACTATGAGTTCAGGTGTCTTCCATGTGGACGCAGGTATCTCCTGCCCAGATGTAGAAGGAACAGACTGAAAAACTCAGTCATCCCTGCAGAGATCAGGCTTCTCAGCGAACACTGACGATCTCTGTTATTTTAATGTCTCAATGTTTTGTGGGTCTACTGACTGTGAAACTAAAAGCCCCTTGGGGATAATAAAGATTCTTGAACTTGAACTTCAAGAAGCTCCTCCTCCTCCTCATGACAGAAACTGAAATCATTAAAGCATCAGCCTTCATCTCCCCCAATCATTGTTTCTATTAAGACCTTTCATCTTCATCACCTTCATCATCACGGTCCTCTCAGACTGATGAACAGACAGATGCTCAAAGCTCCGTCCTCCAGATGTTTGTTAAATGTTCCTCAGTCTTATATTGGAAAGAAGAGTCTCATCCTGGGAGTTAGTGACAGAAAGCTTCTTCCACAGAGGAAACATCTGCTCCTGTGCCTGCACACCTTGTTGGGTTCATGAGTCCAGTTATTCACTGACTGAACGTTCTGACAGTTTCACTGTAGACGGACGATGACGCTTTTTATTATTTGGGTATTCGTCTCTTTCTAACACAATTTATGAATCACTGTCTTCACATAACTTTGAAAAATTCCATAAAAATGCATCAAAACATGCAGCTCTGTTGGGAAAAGGCTGTGACTGTTTCTGGAGGAGGGGGCACAGACAACCTTCATCTCGTTCTTAACTGCTTGCTGCTTGTTCTTGGTCAGAGTTGCTCCAGTGATCATCCCTGGATCTTCTCCAGAAGTTAAAAGTCATTAATCATGGTTAATAGTTACAAAAGATAAAAACACGTTAACACGCGTTCAGTTTGAACCGTTTTATTAGGATCAATATCTGATTCTAAACCAGGGGTGCTTGGGAGGAGAACAGGTTCTATGATGAAAGAGAGATCTGGAGTTTTATTGTCTGCCTGATAAAAAGTGGAGGAGGATGATGATGAACAGGTGGAGAGGGGCGTGGCCAGCTGCCGGTGAGGACCAATCAACAAGAATCACAAAAATAAACAGAAACAGTAAAAACAAACAACACAGGTCCTGACAGTTTCGAGGAGTCACCAACATGTTTGAATAAACCTTCAGTGATCACCGGACCCAATCCAACATGGCCGCCAGAGCCAATCTGTCTCTTTAAATCAGGCTCCTGACTTCCTGTGTGTTTTCCTCCTCTCTGTGTTTTGGACCCGCAGAACTCGGTCGCCTCCATCCTCTTCCCGCCGGCCGCTCGCAGCGCGCGTGCCTCCTCCTCTGCGCACGGCTCGGCTCCGTGCAGGCTGCAGCTCGTGGCGTTCCGCGATGGGAAACTCTTCCCCTGCACCGGAAACTCCTCCAAGCTGGCAGACGACGGGAAGCGCAGGAGCGTCTCCACACCAGTTGCTTTCACCAAATTAGGTAAGAGGAAATCCATGTTGTTTCTCATCATCATCTTCAGCACCATCATCATCATCAGCATGCGTGTGATGTCAGCGCTCGTGCAGTCTCAGTCCATCAGTTCTGTTCTGCACAAACATGTTGAAAGAAGAAATGAATGAAATGTAAATGTGATCAGACTGAAGTTTGATTTGATTCTGAGCTGAGCTCTTCCCTCCCCAGCTGCAGTAAATGTCCAGCACTTGTCTGTGGTGTGCGCGCGTGCGCTGCAGGAGTTTGTGCGCACATGCTTCCAACAGTTTCCTGTTGCTTTTGCTCCCAGATGGCTGCAGCCTCGGGCTCAGCGCCGTCACCGTCGCGCTCCGGCACCGGGCTCCGGGTCTAGACCCCGCCGCGGCCCACTGGGACTTCGAGCTGCTGGATGGACGCGGCGGCTGGAGGCCGGAGGGCTGCCACATAACCGCGTCTGGGGGCGACACCACCACCATCCTCTGCAGCCAGCACAATAAGAACTTAGCCGTGCTAATGGTGAGTACCCTCCCACCCCCGCGCTGCTCGTGGATCTAATGCACCGTTTTTGTCCACCGTGACGGAGTCACGTGCCGTGTGGACACGTCGTGTTTTATTGTGGCTCTTCAGCAGGAAGTGTTAGCTGTGGTGGAGTCGTCTGTTGTGGGAGAGAAGGAGAGGGTGTTTAGTGGGAGCGCGCGCAGTCCCTCTCCAGCAGCAGCTGCAGGAGAAGCAGCGCAGCTGCTGCGCTAATTGGCTGCAACCAAAAAAAAAAAAAAGGATGCTGGACTGAGCTGAGCCGGTCCTGTGAGCTCGAACCTGACGCCACCGAGACATGCTGCCGTCCTCACACGGCAGGTTCTGCAGGTTCTCAGGTTCTGGAGGTTCTGGAGGAGCAGCAGAGGCGCAGTCATGGCACCGCAGCGTCTGCAGGACTCATCTGATTCTTTCTTCATGGAATGAAGAGAAATCCTCCGGATGTTTACCGACGAGTGGGACTCGTTAGACTGGGAGGTCAGTGCCCCCCTGCATGCCGGCTGGACCCCCCAGCTGCAGCTGTGGCGAGGAGGGAAACGCCGCAGAGAAGAGAAGCGGACATAGTGTGCGCGCGTGCATGTGTGTGTGGAGAGGTTGCTGTCGGAGGGAGCGCAGATGTCAGATTGTCAGTGTGCATGTGTGCGTGCACGCGCGTGCTTTTAAATCTGCATTTTAAAAAAAAATCATGTTTTGTATGAGAAGACTCTGAAGTTGAGCACGCCATGAAGTCAGGGAGGGGTTGTCATGGTGACGGATGGAAAGTGGTGAGGGTGAGGTCCTCGTGCTGGTGATGATGAGGATGGTGATGATGATGATGGTGGTGGTTCGGTGCCGGGGATCGTGCGGCTGGTAATGCAGTCACCACACCCGCCTGGTCTCTGCAGTGCCTGTGGAAACAGGATCCAGAGGCTCGTGACATCATCAGAACCTCCGGTGGATCCAACATGGTGCCAAACGGTTCCGCTCCAGCAGAACCTGTTGCGTAATCCTGTCAGGCTGAGGGCTCGTTGTTCAGGCTCGGAGGAAAAAACATCTTCGTTTGGTTTTAGCAGCAAACTTCATTTGTTCTTCTTCCTTAAACAGCCTGCAGGACAGATCCTGTCTGTGTGTCTGTTAGCAAAATATCTCATGAAACCGTGGATGATTGTGATGAATATCTCAGAAAGTTATCATCAGATTCACAACTGAATTAAGGTTTGGCATCAAACCAACTTAAGATGGCCGCCACAGCTAAGCAGCAAACACAAGCTGTGTAAGAGTCGGTCAGTTTTACAGAGAATGAGCTAAAACCTGCAGTGGTAGTAGCTGAGAGTCACTCCAAACACAAGGTGTGAATGCCAACCGATGGAGCACAGTTCTTGTTAAAACCTTCAGCTCATCAACGTTTGGAGTCAAATGTCCTCGAGCCTCTTTCCCTAAACGACCGTTTTCAACATCTGTTGACCAACTTTGAAGCTGAGAACTTGTTTATTCAAGAAGACATCTTAAATCCAGACGAGACAGATTGAACTCCAGCTGATGTGAGACCAGCTGACGTGAGGGACGGAGACGCTCGGTATTATTCATGTGTTCATGTTTGGAGGGCTTTAGCTGCTTTATTGGATGGAGACAAAGTGAGAGATTAAAGAACACTCTGAGTGTTAACACTCTTATCACAAGCAGAACTGGTTTGTTCCTCTTTGGAGTAAGCTGTTGGGGGAAGAATCAGTTTTGTTGTGTGTTTCCTTGACTGATGAAGCCTTCTGGATTGTAGGTGAAATGTTTCAGCACAAAAAAAAGAAACTGTCCAGATGACCTGACTGAAAAATGTTGAACACTTTGAGTGGATGTCGAGCACCGAAGGACAGCTGAAACTGTTCAAGTTCAAATCAGCCAAACGTAACAAACCTTTAGCTGTTTACTGATTGGATGGCTCATGAGACAAATATGTAAACACAAAGCTAAAGTTAGCCTCACAGCAGCTGGAAGCCAAAATTAGCTAACAGTTGCTAAAAGCTAAAGCAACCTCAAGAGTAAGGCAAACACATCCTTGTGATTTATACTCACGGTAACCAGGTAGACGTGAGATGGGACAAAGACAGGATGAGACGTGAGACGGGACAAAGACAGGATGAGACGTGAGCTGTAATAATGTCACTTCTTTCAAGAGTTGAACACGAGAACCTCCTCCTGTTGACTTTATGATGGGAAGGCCAAATTACAGTATCTGCTTTAAACATCTATCCATCCATCCATCCATCCCATATCTGCTTCTTCCTTTCTGAGTCACTGGTGTCCATATCCAGCAGTCAGACCTGGACAGGTCTCCAGTCCATCACAGGGACACCTAGAGACAATTTAGAGTTACCAATCAGTTTAACATGTTTTTGGTCTGTGGGAGGAAATCGAAGTACCCGGAGAAAACCCACGCAGCACGGAGAGAACATGCAAACTCCACCCAAAAGGTTCCCGGGCCAGGATTTGATCCACTGACCTTCTTGCAGAGAGGCAACAGCTCTACCCAGTGCACCACCATGCCACCTTGCTTTAAACGGAATGTGTTTAAAACATCTTTATGTTTTTATCTGGACAATATGATGCAGACTGTGTGAATTTAACAGGTTTATGGGTGAAAATATAAAAAATGAACATTTTTAAAGCGCAGGACTTCTACAGACCGAAGAGAAAACCTGAAGTGTCAGATTGTTCCTCTGTTTTGGATCTGATTTGGGCCAAAGCACACATCGATGTTCTCTTCTTCCACTTGTATAACACTTTGGTTTGCTTCTCCTGCACAACAGTAGTCATAAAACACATCAAAACGTGCAGCCCAATCAGGAGTCGCGTGCGGGGACTTGTGGTGGCGGTTTGAGCTGCACGACAAACTTTACTGTAGAACGTTGTGATGATGACATCAGCTGTGATGTCATCAGTGTCCACATGTGCTGCTGTGGACCTTCAGAGGAATCGTGTCCATCGGGTTTACTCTTTTTATACAATCACAGCTCAGCATGGAGGATTTTAGGGATTTGTTATTTATTAATTTAAAAACAAGAACAATGCTCATAATTAAACTAAAGAACGACACGGGCACATCGTGTAAACGAGCCCGATTTATTCACAAGACTAATTTTCATCTGCAGCTGGTTGATGGTACGAGATAAGAAAGACCTAACATCTGATAAACAACGAACAAAAGGATCAATACATTTACATCATTCTACTTTGGAAGAGTCCTGAGGAGCTGGTGTCTTTCACCAGCAGCCCCTGTGTGAGGGACGAGGACACCTGGACAGAGACACATGGAGACAAACGAGACAACCATTCACTCTCACCTAGTGACAGTTAAAGTTACTAATCAGCCTAACGTGCATGCTTTAGTCTGTGGGAGGAAACCTCTACATGCACGGAGAACACGTAACCTCAGACAGACTGGGAATTAAACCTACAACCCTCTTGCTGTGAGAGAACAGCTCTTATCACTGCTCCACTGTACACCCTTCAAGTTTTTTTTTCCAGGATCAATATATTTGTTTAAAACTTGATCAGTTGGTCAACGTGACAATCAGAACATTCGTGGACATCTTAAACTTCAGTAGCTTCATGTTAGAACAAAATATGCTCCGAACTTTCCAGACTTGTGTCAAACAAACTCTTCTTACTCCAACAAACATTTTCTAGTTTCTCCATCCAGACGTAGACATTTTGTCTTCTTCCACTCGTCTCTGCTGCAGGATGGGGGTTTCTTCTGAATCCACCTGGAGGTCAGAGGTCACCCCAAACTTTCACTGACTTCCATCGTTACGGAGCTCCGGCTTTTCTCTTCACAACTGGAAGTGACTTGTCACACATGTTCACACATTTTGTTTGTTTGTTTGTTTGTTTGTTTTCTAGAGGAGAGCTCCTCCATCAGAACGTTCTGCCCCTTATGATGCAGACTTGTTTTCATAAAGGATTCCCGTGGTGACTCTGTTTGAAGCTTACATTCTGCTTCGTCTTTGTCTGCCTGTCTCAACAAGAGTGCTGTCAGGGAGCGACAGATTCCTGTTTGAGAGCAGAGGGGGTTTCAGGAAGATTTCTGCAGAAATTATCCTGCGTTCTTTGTCGTGCACGAGTGGAACGTGCAGCTGTTGGATTGGACCAAAGTGGGCCCAGATTTCAGCACCAAGGACAGTTCCTGAACGTTCCTCTTTGAGCGTTCGGGAACTGTCCTTGGTGCTGAACTTTTCTTCTGTTGGGACAGAAGGAG